GGAGCATTTGAGATTCTAAAAGGATAACTCAAGGGAAGACTTCAGAGCTCTAAATGAAACCCCTGATCCCCTAACACAAGAGCTTCAAACTTTCTGGAGCCAGGCTAGCAGAGTGGACAAGGGAAGTGGCTGGGTCCACAGCCATCCTCGAGGCTTCAGAAGCCACTTTCCTCGTCTAGAAGATGGGGATGTCTTCAGCAACAACGGATGTGGCCACGCTTCGCAATCAGTAGTGGAGTGCAGGAGGCACCACTGTGGTCCCTTCAGGTCCGCTGCTGGGATACAACTGTCAGCTGTTGGCCCAGGGTGCTTTCCTGACAACCCCATAGGCTCACTCCACTCAGGGAGCCCAGGTGTTGACATTTATCCTCGGTGACCTCCAGGTTGGACCCAGTCCATTTCCTTTTGGGCTTAGAGGCTGGCAGTGAAGTGGACGTCAAAGGGCACTTGTGGTCCATGCCTCTGGGGGCCTCAGGAGCTTGGGCCAGAAGGGCTGTGTTGAGGAAGTGAGGCCAGAGCAACTGCTTTTGAGGACGGTGTTTACTCAGGACAGTGGCAGAACACTGCATGTGGTTTGGATCCCAACCATGAGGGTACAGCAGACACAGCACCATCCACATGTCCATCCACAGCACTGAAGCCACTGGGAATGGTGACAGCGAATGTACACATTAACACGACTGTTCACTATTCCAAGAACCACTTTGAGTCAAAAGAATTTCCTACACATGGAAAAATATGTACACACCCAAAATGAAATGTCAGAGGTTTACGTGTCGGAATGTCACCATGCTTTTCTCTGGGGGACGGGATTAGGAGTATGTTTTTCTAGGTAACTATTATTTTCTCTTGTAAACAGAGCTGTCATTTTTTGTAAGTAGCCCCAGGCTGGAAGTCCCCTTCCCGCAGTGTAGATGGAAGATGTAGCCCCACAGGCTTGTGGACAGGCATCCTCTTATCTAGGGAACCTGGACATGAGCCGCTGGTGCTCAGGCCTCTCATTCAACTCCAGACAGTACCTGGGTCACCCGAGGTGCATTTCCTGCCTGCTGCAGGGTGGGGGGGCCAGTCCTGCTGACAAGGTGAAATGGGGAGAAGGGTGGGGCAGAAGCCTACAGTGCACCGAGGGGCCCTGCAGCCATTGGGACCACCATAGCAGGAGAGTGTCCATGAGTTCTCACCCCTCATTCAGCCTGTTTTGTGCAGTTGCCCCTGCCCCAGGGAAAGACCTGCCCTGGAGTAGCTTGGAGGTCAGTGGTAGATGGGCCAGGGAAAAAGAAATTCTGCAGGGGCTGAGAGCCCTTGCCTGATGCCCACAACTTCAAGGAGGAGAGGTTTGTTTTGACATGTGGTCACATCCCTGGTCGGCTGGCTATAAGGCAGGAACCATGGTGGAGGGGCCAGGGCAGATGAGAACGGCTCACAGCATGGCTGCCAGAAGTAGAGAGCAAAGGGAAAGCTGGGGAGGGAGCTGCACCTGCTAGGCCACCTCCTAATAGCACCTTCACCACAACGCCCCATGATCTGATGGCCTTTGACAAGCCCTACCTCTGAGCACAGCAAAGTTTGGGGGCCTAACACCTGGCTTTGTTCCCCAACACTGAAGGATAAAACATAACCCTGCAGGATGGAAGTCCAGCAGAAAAGTAGCAGGGCAGATCTGGCTGTGGAGGGGCTGTTGGTACCAGTCTTCTCTATGCTGGGGTTCCACCCCGGACGCAGGTGAGCAGAGACCAACACCAGCTTGCTCTTAAGAAAAGCATTCCCACCTCATACGTGATAACCTGCCTCATTAAATTTAATGGGCTGGTTATTCCTGTTAAATAAACATCAACTAATTATGAAAAATATATTTGCCAAAGTTTAACTATGGGAACGTATGAACCAATTACATGGTTATTCAGCCTCAAAACACATTCAGTAATGAGGTGGGGTGTGGACAGGCAGCAGAGAGGCCTGCAGAAAGTACCCTCTCCCTTTCCTGCCTCCTCTCTGGGGCTTGCTGGGCCTCAAGATTGCCAGGATCCTGGAGAGTCAGGGCCACTGCACACTTGGGTCTGGTATTGGACAGATCCTCAGCTCCCACTGATGTAAGCAAAAAGAGCTCATGTTGGCTCCAGTGACCAAAAAATCCAAAACAGCCATGCTAGTGGCACACGACTGTAGTCCCAGCTACTTAGGAAGCTGAGGCAGGAGGATCACAAGTTTGAGGCCAGCCTGGGCAATTTAAATAAAATTTTTAAAGGACTGAGGATGTAGCTTAGGGGTGGAGTGCTTGCCTCCATGTGGCAAAACCCTGGATATCCCCAATATCACAAAAAATAGTAATAACAGAAACCTAGAAAATGGTCTAACCAGTATGACTTACCAGGGCAAGCATGAAGGAGCCCTTCTGCACCCTCCACCCCATGGCTGGAACAGACAGGCAACCCATCATGTATAAGTTGTTAAAACCACTTTGGAGAGGATTTGGCCATGTCTTACAAATGTCTGCCCACAATGATGTAGCACAAAGGGAGAATGAACATGTGTGTCCTCCCAGTGGCACTGACACAGATACTCCTGCACCTCTTCCCAATGGCCACAGGGCCAGTCACCACAGGCAGCCATGGAAAACAGAAGTTTGTTCCTGTAGTGAGATACTATGCAGCAGTGAAAAAGAACATAGAGCCCCCAAAACCACCTGAACCAGTCACAAACATCACATGGGGATGAGAAGCCAGCACAGGATTCCCAGCTACAGCCACTTCTGACAAAGGACCACTAATAGCCATCTGCACCAGGACCTCTGTCACAGCTGTGTGCTCTGGGTCTCATGGGCTGTAATCCAGGCACGGCCGGTACACTCTTCTCTTCTGGAGCCTGGGCTCCTTCCAAGCTCACCTGGCTGGTGGCAGCATTCATCCCAGAGGGGTCATCTGTTTTGTTGTTTTCTTTCTTGAAGAAAGGGTCTTTCTGTGTAGTCTAGGCTGGCCTCAAACTTGTAATCCTTCTGCCTCAGCCTCCCAGAGTGCTAGGATTACAGGCATGTACCCGCGTGCCCAGCAAGGGGAGTGGAAGTCTTTTTGCTGACTATCTGCTCCTACAGGCGACAGCGGTCCCCTGCCTCATGACCCTCTCACAACATGCACTCTCTTCACAGCCAGCCAGGAACTCTCTCATAAGGCATAAGGCCATCGTCCCAAGAGAAGCGCCCCTTCTCCTTTGTCTTCCTGGCGGTCAGAAGCAAGCCGCACACTTGACGAGGCGGCACTGCACAGAAGTGTGACGCACGAGGGTACCCCAGTGTGTGTCTGGATCTGCAGTAGATCACCCCACTTGCGTGAAGTTCAGAGACGAAAGTGGACAGAGCTTGCCTCGGGTAATGGGAGTGAGGCCGTGGTCGGAGTGGGTGAACTACCAACTTTGGGGGAAGGAGAGAGCCTTCCTTTTGTGATCGTCATGCGCGTAAATGTGTTTAAGTGTAAAAATACACTGGTCTCTATGACTAAGGATCGTGGGCTTCATTGTAAGTAGACAAAGAAGCGAGGGAAAGGAAGAGGAGAGGAAGAAGAAGGAAGAGGAGGCAGATCTTGAGGCAGTGCTAACAGAAGGCTCTCCAAAGATCTATTTCTAGGAGAGAAAAAGGAAGAAAATACACAGATGCAGCTCCCGGGGTGTGTGGCTTGTGTCTTTGGGAAAAGCAGAGGGCAGGATGTCGCTGGTCATCTGCACACTCCTCACGAGGCCCATGTCTCAGGGACACATCAAAGGCTGCTACCAGCTGTGTGTGGCCTGGGGCAGGGGCCATTGGACACTGACATCTCTGTGCATGATCCAGCGCGCTATTTGAATTCTTTACAAACATGAGCATATATTTTAATGACTAAAACATCTTTTTAAAAGGGTGAGTTGGAGGTGAAGGCTCTGAAGTTGTCCCTAGGCTAAGGGATATTCTGGGTCAGGGAGGGTCTCTTGTATTTCCCCCAACAAAGTCAGTCATGGTAAGCCCCAGTCGGCCCAAGGGGCTGCCAGGGGTGTCCTGGTAACCGGTGGGGACAGCACCCAGAAGAATGCTCACAGAGGACATGGAGGAGTAGGCATCTGGTGACATTGTTGCGGCACCCCCCTCCAGCTGTGCTTCCCTGTCCTCGGGCCATTCTGGGAAGTGAGAGTGTCCTCAGGGTGAAGGAAGCTGAGTCTTGTCAAGGCGAGATTCTAGCTGAGCCTGTGATCTCCGCCCCTTGTTTATATCTGGCATCCTTTCTGATTAACTACTAAATATTTTACATGTCATTTTAGTGTTTGTCCCTTGAACCAAAAAAGCTCTGCCTGCCCTGGAAGGAGGAGGAGAGACTTTGGGGAGGTGGGCAGGTCCCCGCCTCTCTCTGCTGTCTCAGCCCATGGCCCAAAGGCTGGGCCGGC